CAAAACAGATATTATCTTTTAGAGATATGCTCACACTGCAATGATGATTTACTGAAAAGAAAATTATTTCACTTTTATCTAATGATTGGTATATTAGGATATGAAATGTTCCTCCGGTGGGTATAAAATATATCATATAAATATCCTGAAGATAAATAAAATGTCAGATATGAAATAAAGAATCGATCTGTTCGTATTATGACCTGCACAACATGAAGGTCATCCTCATGGTGCAACAGCACCTCCAGTTCTCCTCTTCTCCTCTGCAGCTCAGAGATTTCTGATTCCAGGTCCAGAATCAGCCTCTTTGCCCTCACTTCTGCTACCATCTGCTTCTTCTTGATCACCTCCACCAGCTCCACTTGGCTTCTCTCCACGCTGCGAAGCAGAGCTGAGAAAATCTGCACACTTTCCTCAATGTCCCTCTTTGAGTTTTCCTGCGAGTGAGGAGGAGAAACTAAAAATGAGGGGAAACTGTAGCGTATAATTAGGAAAAACAGATGAGGATTGCATATTTTGAAAAGTTATCCTTACTCTTCCCAATGTGTGATATCATAGCTTCATAGCTCAAGTCTATTGCAAGACAGGCTTATATTTTCCTGAATCAACTCACTTTGCCAAGATCAAGATTGTGCTTTATCTCCTCCAGCTTCTGCAGCCTCTCCTGGATCATCTGCTGAACTTCACCTTGGATAAGTTTTATCTGAACCTGAAGAACAATGATCAAAGCTGTAAAGTAAAGTAAACCCTAAACTGAGGATGTCAGACTCTTGACAGTCACCTTCTTTTCTTTACTCTCTCGTTCCACTGGAACGGTGTCACGGCAGCGGTGATCGGTTTTGATGCACTGCAGACAAACACACTCCTGGTGACTCCTACAGAACAACTCCAGGAGCTTCTGGTGGCTCCTACACACCCTGCTCTCCAGCATGGCAACAGGCTCAATCAGTGTGTGATTCTTCAGCACCCCAGCTCTCAGGTGAGGCTCCAGGTGGGCCTCGCAATAAGAGGTCAGACACACCAGGCAGGACCTCAAGGCCGTGGTTTGCTTTCCCACGCACACGTCACAGCTAACAGTCTTTCCCACCACACCGTTCTGCCTCCTGGTTCGGATCTGCTCAGACATTTCTTTGGCGAAAGAGTTTTCGCAGAGCTCGGGACACATTTCGTACACTGTGTGACACTTGGGGCAGTTGATAGAGCGTCTTCCATCCCAGTGAGAGGTGATGCAGGTGTGGCAGAAGCTGTGGCCACAGGGGATGGAGACTGGCTCCAAAAAAACATCCTGACAGATGGAGCACTGAAACTGCTCTTCAGACAGAAAAAAGTCATGGGAAGTCATCACCTCAGAAGGGAAAAACAGAACCATGATGTTAACTAAAACAGATAATACTATATCAGATCAAAACATTGCAAGTGTATAAAATGTATAAAGAGTATTTAATCAAAAACTTTACATCTCTTGTACTGTTTCTTATTTTTTTTTTTACCTTACTTGATTTACTGTATTAAAGTGTTGGGAAACATCTATAAAACTAACTTAAACCCTACTTTTTTTCACAGCTTTTTTTCCCCCCACACCTTGAACCATGCAGGTTATATGAAGGTGCGGCTTTTGTGTGGATTTTTCCCAACTGCCAGGGGGTGGAAATCATAGTTCGAAATCAAAGACGAAGCGGCTTATATTAATTTAGCACAAGCGCCTGCTAGCAGCAGGCACAACGCAGTACAAATGTACAAAATTCAAAAAATTTGAGATTTATTTGTCGAACCGGTGAAGATACTGTGTGCAGGATCTGCAGAGGTACGCTCTATAACACGAGGTGGATTGTTGGCCTCAGTTTTCTAACCTACAGCCACTGGATCCTTTGTGTGGCCCACATATCATGTACAGCATCTTAAGAGTACCAGACATCCTCTGTTCCACTTAATATTTTTTTCAGATTTGACTTGCCTTCAAATTTCAGATTCAGATACTCCCATGTCTGCCTGTTCTAAAAGTACCAGGTTCTCTGAACAGTCTGGTGGGAAGTGTGCACACAGTTATAATAGATATATTAGAACTTTAACTGAGTGAAATGATTATGAAACGAACAACTTCAATGCATGTTGAAAGCAGGAACAAAGAGTTTGTCTTTTGCATAATTATGCTGTTGTGCCTTACAATGTGGAACTGTACCAGTACCTCCGTCCCCAAAATAGCCTCACAAAAGGATGGTACCACTACTGTGCCAAGCAGTTTAATACAAAGAGCTTTTGTTGAATACCTTGACTGCTCCATGTCGGTACCATTATTTCTTCATTGCTCAATATTTATGCAAAATATTTCAGCATATACAAATCAAGCCTAATAGCAAAGTTGAGATGGTAAAGAAAAATAAGGAGGGGCACTTATTTTATTTTTCTGTAGTTCAGAGTGGCTTTTCCAAATAAAAAAGACACCCGCCTGGAATGGGAGGAGGGGCAGCAGCACCTAGATGCAAAAATGGCATATGGTATAAGCCTGTTGGGAACCGGCTAATGCCAGTTGGTAACTTGTTTTAACCCAGTTGCTAAAAGGCATATTCCATTTGGAAACTGATTTATGCCAGTTGCTAACTGGCATATGCCGATTGGGCAACTGGCACGGACCATTTTCCAACTGGCATAAGCTGGTTCCCCACTGGAATATACCATTTTTGTTTTTTTTACTTGCATGCCAGAAACCACTTTGGGCTCTCGCTGTCACTCAGGAGGAGGGTGTGGAAATTGTCTAATTCACCAAAATCAAAAGAGTAAACACTTATTCATCCAGAATAAAGCAACTTTATAATCCCCCTGAGAACATATATAATAATTTTCTTTTGATTGTTGTATTCTCATTTTTGCATTGTCCCTGTGTTTTTCCATATTGGACTAAGGTATTTTATTTTTTTTACGTGTTCAGCTATAGCCCTAGCTATCTCAAGTTTCTTTTTCCTCAGCTCAACATTTCTCTGCCCCTGAAACATTATTAAAAATGACCAGTTCAATTACATCTGACCCATTTGATCATTAGCTTGAATCAACTCAGGAACCCTTGTTGGCCAAAGTCCACCTGCCTGGACACATGACTCAGTACCTCACCTTCTGTTTCAGTTCTGTTTCAAACATAACACAAAACACAAAAACATGAAACACCAACAGTTTCCCACCTTCCCATTTAGTAAATCATAGCAATCCACAAATCCTTGAACTGCTACACAAAAACATGTAACTCTCATCTGAAAGAGCCAGTTTGTGGTTCCATAATTTATTTTCCTTCTGCATTAATCTCCATGGTGAAAAACTAAAATCAAACCAACATTAATGGTAGATTACAGTGTTTATTTCTGGCGATTTACTCTGTCTAAGTCTTGTCCTACCTTTTTTCCCTGAATGTGAAAGATGACCTCGGCTCGAGCAAACACTGGGCATTGTGGTTGTTAAGCCAAAGTCCTTCCTATTTAGCTCTTACCACTCCCTGTGGGAATTTTTTTTCATGTCACTCTGTTGTGGGAGGGGTAATGTCAGCATTGGGAGCAGTATTGATTTGTTTTGTAAAATATTTCCTGTATTTCTATGAAGATATTTTAACTGGTTTGAACAAGATAGAAGTGACACCAGTTTTTCCACTTTAAAATTCAACAAAATGTAATTTATTAAGAAGATAGATATAATGATAGATAGATATACTGAACAGACAGTAATTACATTTTTAAATATTTGATAACAAATAGCAGTTCTGCGCATCTCATGGCTGAACAGATGTAACCTTGATGGAAAACTGAGGCAACAACCCATGCTGAAGGAACCACTGTTAAAATAGGAAAACCACAGGTCAGGAAATAAGGAAAACTGATATTTATGAAACAAAATAAAATGAAAAAACAATATACTCTTACCTCTGCAAGTAAAGCTTGTATTTCTGAGTCTGACAATCTACCATAGGTCTTTAGATTCATATCCAAGGCAACGATGTAATCTAGAAAAAGAAACGTAATGATCTAATTATAACACTTAACCTATTATGTGTTCTATAGAAACAGATTTGTAAACACGGAGTCTTTGCCAGTGAGGTGCATAAACTTCTTTATGAATGAAGTTCACATTTCTGAGAAGTTTATTCTAAATAATGCTACCTTTGGAGAATTAGAAGGAAACTTATATTGACATCATTTTAACTGTGGGGTTAAGCTCTAACCTTGGATATTATCAGATTTACAATGTTTAATTAAGGCTTTTTGTAATTAATAATCAATGCGAAATGGAGCAAAGGGAAAGGCAGCAGCTTTCAACTCCTCTCGACGTTTTGTGAGCCAGTGACTACAAGAATAACAATGTTTGCTTAGTTTGACATTGAGAAAAGTGGCAAACTGGGAGAGTAATAAAGGGGCAAAAAGATCCACAGTCAAAACTATAATTAAGTCATATTATAGTAATGAAGGAGAGCAATCATTTTGGAAATACTCCATTTTAGAAACAGTTTCTGCTGGGAAAAATAATGTCCATTTAACTCTATCAGAGAAAAAATTATGCCACCTTAACCCTAAAACATGGATCATTAGCATTAATTGATCTTAATAGTTTAGAACTATGGTGTGATAAATATGTTTAGACCCTAATGAACGAGCAGTATCTCAAAGCGAAGCTTTTGTCTTTCAAAATACATAGGCAGTTAACTATGAATGTGAATACATTTATTTTGGCTGGAATGAACTGAAATATTAGCTACTATTTTAGGAGGATGAAGCTGGAAAACTCTGTTCTTATCTTTCCTGACAATATTATGAAGTTTGCACAGTTACTGTTTAACTAAAATAAAAATGATCAACTAAACATTAAACAAAGTAAAATTATGAAAGTGTATTGGCTGTTACTTACTTGGTCCTAAAGGTAGATGAGTTTGGGACAAGAGAAAAAGGGAGAAATAGAAATTATTTAATTACTTAATTCAAAAACTATAAATCAATTGACAGGACATTGTATCAACAAAGCAAACAATCCCACCAGTAGTAGCATTGATGCTGACTCCATTGCTTCGGACATTCTCAAACACAGAGAAGAGGGTGAATGTGTATTTAGCTCCAGCCGTCAGAGATGTGACTGTGTGAGTTAATGGTCCATCTCTGTCTGTTGCTCCAATGTTTGTCTCTGTGCCATTAAACTGGAGAACAAAGCTGGTGTTGTTGTTGATTTTATCCCACTGCAGAGTGATACTGGTCTCATCTTGGCTTAATGGTCTAAAGTTGCTTGGATTTTGAGGAGCTAATGGAGCAAAGAGAAACAAAAAGCAGTCAAGTAATTAAAGGTAGAAAAAATGATGCCTCTTCCTCTTGAACTTCTCCAAATTGTTTGAAAATGATAGAAAAAGTTCCATAAACTTGCCAAAATTACGGTCAAGAAAATAAGCTTTATAATCAACATAGTAACAGATTGTCACAATAAAGTACAAGTTGTTCTTCTGTTTCAGAGCAAAAATGCACTGTATCTGCTGAGGTAGAGTCAAATTAGAATAAACAAATACCAAAAGAATTTTCCTTTCTGTTCCTAGAAGGCTGTAGCCATTTGATTATCGTTTAAACTCATAAAGTCTAGTCCTCTCTGCACCTGACCCCTACGGATCCCTCTGCGGGTGTTGGGTCCACATGAGCGTGGGTCCACGTCATCTGTTTGGGCTGGGCCAGGCTGGGCCCCATAGGCCAAGGCCCGGCCACCAGGCGCTCGCATACGAGCCCCAACCCCAGGCCTGGCTCCAGGTTGGGGCTGAGCCATACCGGGCAACTCTTTCCATAAGGGTCTTCTGAGCTGCTCTTAGTCTGACCCGTCACTTAGGACCTTTTGCCATGGGAGACCCTACCAGGGGCATAACTTCCCAGACAACAAAGCTCCTAGGATCATTCGGACAGTCAAAAAACTCCACCACGGTAAGGTGGCAGCTTGCGGAGGTTGTTAAAGTCAACAACCCCCGTGTTTACTCAAAATAAAAAAAACTATGTAAGGCTGGAAGTGAAGACTAGCCAGTCAAACAAAATAAAGGAATTAAGAAAGTGTGCTGGAAAAAGATGAAAATAAATAGTGATGAGAATAAAGATGGAATTAGAATTGCTTTTACAGTACTTACCAGGAAACACTAGAGAGATAAGACTAACTAGTTTGAGAAAAAAAAAAGTTTGCAAGAAATGTTGTGGAATCATTAACTTAGGCCTCGTTTAGCCATGCTATCTCTCTTCTTCTTTTAAATTAAGCTGCTTCTTGGACAATATCAACAACTTCTAAAATATAACTGATAATTGGAATCAAGTAGTCACCTCATTTAGATGTATCATCCTTCAAGAATCAAGCCAAGAAAAATAGCAGTTTTTTTTTATAAAATACAGAGCAGCGTAACCGGTGAGCATTACTGTTTAACTTCGTTGAAAATATTTTATCTGTGTGTTACAGATTATAAATGATTATAAATGCACATAGACATGGGGCTTATAATGCATGAAATGCAATCTTAATTACCAAATAATTTGAGACATAAAGCTCAGCAATTCTGGTTGATCTAATCTCAAGTTACATTGCAAATATAGAGATTGATGAATTTTCAAAGTGAACAATGCAAGAACTGTTCAATTCAACTTAAGACAGCTTCTTTCTTTAGCATTTCTTACTAGCAATGAAGTTAAATATCTCACCAGTGACAGCCGAAAGCTGTACTCCTCTGCTCCTGACATTCTCAAACACCGTGGTGAGGAGGAATGTGTATTTAGTTCCAGCAGTCAGAGATGAGAGTGTGTGAGTTACTGGTCCATCTCCATGTGGCGCATTAATGAATATTTCCGCACCATTGAAGAAGAGAACATAGCTGTAGTTGTTGTTCCTTTTATCCCACTGCAGAGTGATGCTGCTCTCATTTTGTGATGAGGAGCTAAAGCCCTCTGCATTTTCAGGAGCTAAAATTAAATTAGAAGAAAATAGATTTGTTAGTTTGTGTTAAGTATTTGATTATTAGCCTGAGTGTTTTGCTTCTCTATGTAGTCCCTGTGGGCTGAAACAAATCAACACCTCATATTACAGGAGAAAACACGAAAGCAAACATTTTTAAGATAATGGTAACAGTGCCAAGTGTCATAATAGATTCCTATATTTTATTTAAAATAAATCTTAAATAAGATAAATCTTTTTAACTTGACTTTCAGTGCTGCTGTACAACCAGAAAGTTAGAGGGAAACAAAGAATGTTATCATTAAAACTCTACTGCTGATTATCTCAAACACAAGAGATTAAATTTGTTTTTCAGTTCCAGCAGACAGAGATGCGACTGTGCGTTACTGGTCCATCTATGTCTGACCATTTTTTCCCCCTGTGCCATTAACTGGAAAAACTTGTTCTAAACTCTTTAAAAACTTTTAAAAAGTTTGCATGCATAATGCAGAACAACAAGCAAATTCCTAGTAAAAAAAAAAAAACCATTAGGAAAAGAGAAATGTGTTATGTTCAAACTACAAAAAGGCAGAATTTTCTCCCAAACCTCATTCACTGCAAAAAAACATTTACAGCAGAGCTACTTCCTTAACCAAGCCTGTCTTTAAAGTTAAGCTTTCTACTGTAAAAGACAGCAAGGCTTAGGGTATAATTGGTAAGGCGTTCTGCTAAGATGGCATTTTGTTTTTGGTTGGTTAATCCCTTGACAACATTAAATATTTTGACACAGATAATACATCATCACAAGTTAAACTTGAGTTAAACTCGGGATTAAAATGAAAGAGACCCTGTGCAGATGAATGTAACACTTAGTGTTTCCAAAGCATGATTGTAGTCAGAAGTAGTCAGACAGGATTGTCCATATATTTTTAAAAGTCATCTTGTTTTCTTTCTGCTGCAGCTTACATGTACCTGTTATGCAAATTAAAAATGTCCAATGCTAAAATAGTTCCGTGTGAGCCCGGTTATTTAAAACTATCAATGATGTCATGACATGTTGATTATGTCGGTTATTTAAGGTAACCTGAAAATAATTTCATTCTCAGCTTGGTCACATCTATAAAAAGTGAGGATTAAAATAGATGGGACAAAGACTAAGTTCAACATCTTACCAGTGACAGCTGTAATTTGTACTCCATTGCTTCTGATGCTATCGAGCACAGAAAAGAGAATGAATGTATATTTAGTTCCAGCAGACAGAGATGAGACAGTGTGGTTTATTGGTCCATTTCCTTGTGGTGCACTGATGTTTGTCTCTGTGCCATTAAACTGGAGAACAAAGCTGATGTTGTTGTTGATTTTATCCCACTGCAGAGTGATACTGGTCTCATCTTGTGCTGATGGCCCAAAGTTTCCTGCATTGGGTGGAACTGACAAAAACAAAAACAAAAAAAAGGGATGAGGAATAACTCTTAGTCCTTTAATACATAAAAAGTCACAATTTACTTTGTCAAATATTTCATTCTTCAGTATTATATTTATAGTTAGACTTTAGTGACATCTGTTGGGGATAAAAATAATTGCATTCGAGCAGGAAACCATGGGATTACCTGTTAAAACTTATAGAGAGAACAAAAAAAAAGCTAAAAGAATTGAAATACTAACCTCTTTAGAAGTAAAAGTGATTTTAAAGGAGTCTTAAGCAATTTATTAATTTAATTTGATCTAAATATATTACCACACAATAAAGAAACCTGCAAAAAAAAATGATTTTGCTCTAAAAAAAAATCTTTATCTCAGTTGACATCACATTGGTTTTTAAATGTTGATGAGCTATTTTCCAGAAATCAAGAAACGTTTTGTCCATATCTATTTCTTGATCATTATTTTGCAATCTTACGAAAGAAAACTGTAAGAATGTCTTGTACTGTATTCAACAGCCCTTAACATTTTCAAATTTTGTAACATTACTACGATTTGATTCAATGATGCAATGATATACAGTATTTTATTTAGATATTATGAGATGGGCAAAAAAGAAAAACAACAGCTGTACATTTGTAGATTTGAGAAAATATAATTAAGCAGGTTTAGGTTTTGTATAAAGACATGAAAGATGTCATGTGCCACGGCCAAAGAAGTTGCCTTAAGTCATCCTTTGTATAATTTAATCTAAGAGGAGATCAGAAGGGAACCTTTTGGCTTACAAGTAAAAGGATGTGTGGATATTTAATTTCAGCTAGGGGAAGATGTAGGAGTTTATTCAAAGATGAATGTAGCTTAAACAGGGCAGTCATGGAAGAAAAGGCTAGAATATGGTCAAATCCTAATTTTCACCAGCAGACATTTTAGTCTATAGATGAAAGAGGCTGCTGCAGGCATAGCCAAGAGGACTTTTTGCTCACATCTCTTGGGTTCTAGAAGAAAAGTATGACAGAGAGATTAAACTGGATACATTACTTGGTTTGTAGCAGATGAAAGGGTAGGGCAGGGAGCAGTGTGCATCATGCCATTCTCCAGAATTATAAAAATTTGCAGTCACACACTCATGATCGCTAAGGGTTGGTTGACCAGATGCCCAGTATCGAAATAAAGAGGTGCTGCCATCAGACCAGAGTTTTTCTCGATAAAGGCCAATCCACAGAAAAGATCCAAGTATTGAGATCCTGTCATTTTCACTCTGATTGCGAACACTGTAATAGTATTGAAAAGTACATTGACATGAAATATAAACAAAGAACAACACAACATAATCTAGATGTCTCTATGTTTCTCATCTCATTGTTAAGGGGTCTACTATCAGCTCTACATCAATTAGCTATAAGAGATATTTAAGTGGATAATAATACTGGACTCAATTTCTGCAAGATTAACCTATCGCTAGTGGTTGCAAACAAGCCAAAATCATCCTATAATACCATCCTATAATCATGGTTCTTAGGTGTTGTGAATAATCCCCAATTTATTATTCAGGATTATTCAGCCTGCATGGCATTCTGAATAAACCAATATTCCTCTGTGTCGTTTGTCTGAGGGGTCATGTGCCCAAAGTCTAATTCAGATAATTTTTGTAAACATGTTGTACTGCCTTAATTTGAATAGTGGATAATCTGACCTTGGGGTAAATTTGACTGGAATTTAACTCATACAGCTATTTTCAACTGTCCTCCAAGTTTTCTGTTTGTGAATGACCTTTATACTGATGCAGAAGAAATCGAATAGTTTTGGAAACTCCTTCATTATCCTTCCAATGTTTACATTCACATTGTGTTTGTTGAGGAACTTTTTTTAAAACTTTATATACTATGTGATGTCTTTCTACCTTGAAACCTGAATGCTGCAGGGTGGCAAACCCAAATTTGTGAAAAGATTTTCATAAATATATAAATGTATTCACGTTTGAAATGTAAGTAATTTGTCTAGGAACCTGAAATGGCCCTCAGGCTACAATTCAGTCAATCCCTGTTTAGATTATATTAGTATTCAGTATCTGTACCTGGCAAGATCAAAATAATACTTCCGACAGAACTTCTGAGCTTCCATCCAGTTAAGTGAGATATTACTGACAACATAGGATGGTGAACCGCCAACAGTGCCTGGAAAAAATATGGAAAGAACTAAGACCATCAAGACAAAACTTTTCTTAAAACAGATTTAGAATTATGCCAAATTACTCAAATTACTTTTTTTCTTACTTGTTAATCTGTACTTATTTCAAGCATATCTTTAGTAATACTGTATCTACAAAAATAGGAAGTGTAACACAACTTAACAGTAAAAAATTAATATTTTTGTTCCCAGTTGTATTGTAAATCAAAAATCAAAGTGAACAATGCAGTTTTATTTGCTTAAGTCTGGCCGGGTCAAACGTTCTTCTAAAGTTTAAAGGGAATCTTTGCAATAATTGAAGGAAAAGAAACGGATTTCGGCAAATGGGGGTCGTCTGAAAACAAAAAAAACTCTTGACCTTAAAAAAATGTGAAAACCTTTTAAAAACAGAGACGATTTTTTAAAGAAAAGAATGAACTGAAGTCTACTCTCCTTAAAACTTCTAAGAATATCAACATATTTATATCTTATGTCTTTGTACTGTAGGAAGAAATAAGCAAAATGTACATATACATTTTACATATAAGATATTAATATATAAATAAAATTTCTTTTTTTTCATGCCTCGCGATAACATAATTTTAAACAAATAACAATGGTTCAATTAATGTTACTTACCATTGTAGCACACAAATTTTTTTTCTTCATCACAGTCGTTGTCATCCCATTTGCCTAACCCCTTACTCAATAGTTGTACACAGTGCTGTTGTCCATCAAGATTATTGGGCTGGCCTGAGTTCCAGTTTCTAAAGTCAGTCTCTCCATCACCATAAAAGCTACTGTCATCTATGGACCATTTCCAGGAGTTTACCAAGTCATCATATAGACCTATCCACCCGAAACCTGTTTATACAAGAAACACCCATTAAAAAAAGAAAGAAAAAAAAAGGCTTTCAAGGTTTTCAAGGCATGTGTGTTGTAAGATACCCACCAGTGTAGTTTGATGTGGCCCGATTAACAGCTTCAACGTCTGCTATACTTTCTATGGTGGCCAGGTCAGTGTAGTCCCGTCTGCAGACACTTTGAGCATCTGTCCAGTTCAGAGTTCTGTTCACAAAGTAGTATTGACGAGTTTGGGCAAACGCAGCATGGAGCACTGTTCCTGAAATGAAAGCTTTTAAGTTTTGTTGTCTTATGTTATACTAGAAGAGTTAGTTTCCGTAATTCATGTGCAGACATGTGTGGCATGCAGAGATCTGCTCAGCCCCTCTTCTCTGATCACTCTTTAGCCTGTGTTTAGACTTATAAGAAGTCTTCCAGCTTTTCTGCTCTTCAACAACTCTTCCTGTGCACAGGCACCTTCTTTATTTTATCGCTGGTCCATTCTAACTAAGGTGCCAAAACTATATTGACCTTTGCCTCACAATTTAATCCAACACCAGCTTTTATGATGTAATCATTGCTTTAATACATTGTAGTTGTTTCAATTTTGGAATTTTATGGAATTAACCTGTTTGCAGTTGGAGTGGGGAGCTTCTGATCTGGACTGAGGAAGCAGGGACTGGGTGAGTGGGGTCAGACTTATTCAATACCATGGCCAAAGTAACCAAGGTGGTCAAAAAACTCTACAGTGGTGTTAACCGTTCCTGCTCAGTCATCTGACCGTGGTCGGGAGACACAGGGGAGTTCCTTTCT